ATAAAGCAAATCTGCAGGACCGGGCAGTTTTAGCAATGTGGTCTGAGAAAGTCAGCTGATCATCAATCATAACTGCAAGGTTTCTGGCTGTTTTTGAAGGAGTTATGGTTGATGTGCCTAACTGGATGGTGAAATTGTGATGAAACGATGGGTTTGCTGGAACCACAAGCAGTTCTGTCTTGGCAAGGTTGAGTTAAAGGTGATGGTCCTTCATCCAGCAAGAAATGTCTGTTAGACAAGCTGAGATGCAAGCAGCTATCATAGGATCATCAGGATGGAATGAGAGGTAGAGTTAAGTGTCATCAGCATAGTAGTGATATGAAAAGCCATGTTTCTGAATGACAGAACCTAGTGATGCCATGTAGACAGAGAAGAGAAGTGGTCCAAGAACTGAGCCCTGAGGCACCCCAGTAGTTAGATGTTGTGACTTGGAAACCTCACCTCTCCAAGATATCTTGAAGGACCTATCTGAGAGATAAGACTCAAACCACTGGAGTGTGGTTCCTGAGATGCCCTTTGCCAATATGGTTAACAACAGTATTACTAGTATTATCATCATATATTATGTTCATTCACTCATTTTAAAGTAAAGGGCTAGGAAGATATGCATGATGGTATGTACCATGCAATGGCATAAACAAGTCAACCTGCGATTCTGATACAGTTTATACTATGGCGCAAAAGAAAAAACTGTTTACGCTGAAACTCGTCTCGCAGACATGCATTTATAGCTGATTGAAATAGAAGCAATTTATGTTGTGTAGACACAGTTTAAGAGGATGTTTATGGTTGTTAAGCAAAGCTGCAACTTAATAAAAAAATAGCATCATTTAGAAAAAATAAAATAAAATTAACATAAAAATCAACTTGCATACAATAGAGAGACTTGATGTCAAAACCTGGAAGACTAATTCAACATGGGTTCCCTTGAGATTTTCCTATGGGTTTTTATAATGGGGGTTTTCAATTTATGAGTAAAATAAGTTCTGTGGTAAATGACAATACATGGACATTTCGCAATGCATATTGATAACACCCATACTGAAAATGCGCATTTTAAAAAGCATATGTTTGCAATAAGTAACTGCATAAGAATGTTTGGTGTGAGCAGTTTACATTGTACAGTACAATAAAACATCCAAGTGTCATAAGTTATGTTTTCCACAGACCTTATTTTACTAGAAAAACCCCATTATAAAAACCCATAGGAAAATCTCAAGGGAACCCATGGTGAATTAGTCTTCTGGGTTTTGACGTCAAGGCTGCTGCTCTCTGTTACATTTATTCATATATCAGCTGCATTACAATGGCTTCAAACATTGCTAATTAAAAAAAAAAAAATTTCAAAAGTCTTTGTTTTTACACTTACACAAAAGCTGTCACTAAGGAAGTACCTTTGCAAAAGGTACATCTTTGTACCATATTTATCCCTAAAAGGTACGTACGTACTGGTACCTTAAAGGTACATATCGGTCTCTACAATGTACACATTAGTGCCTATATGGTACACTTTAGTACGTTTTAAAAGGGTACTGCACTAGTGACAGCTTTTGTACCTTTTTTTCTGAGAGTGGAAGTATTATATAAAATGCAAAGCTGTTTTTGCTTTGATTTGGTACCCGACATATTCATTTAATCATCTTTTCAAGTATTAAAGTATATTTAATTCGGTGGATTAACAAAAACAGCAATTTCTATATGTTTATGTAATATATAAAACATTTTGTGGTTGAATTTACAGCAAAGATATATATATTGTAATATATACAGTTATTGTGATGTAAAATTATTACATTTTTCCCAAGAAAAAGCCACTGTAAAGAAAGCTCAGCACTGGCTCTTTCGCAGTAACAACACAATGGATAACAAACTTCCTGGCCTAAATGAACATAAGTATGTTCTGTAGCAGCTTCGTGGCTCCTAGCATCCTTGGTTGCCTTGTTTGGAGGGAATACATTTCAATGTTTACTATGTGGCTATAAATAACAAGGTGCAACTGCGTAGTGTTGCCCCGCTGTTCCTCTTCCCTCTCTTCGCTGTGCCACCGGCCCGCTGCTGACGGTGTCGGGGTCACATCGGCATGCTGTCATGAGCCTGGCAGCGGCCTGCCTCACCTCCGTCTACCGTACATCCCTGACGGAGCTGCAGCCATTAGCAAGCGTTCTCCGGCCGGGCCGGGAGGGGGGGGAGTGGAAGGCAATCAATGTGACTCATTCTTTCTACGATGGCTGCTCCATAACAGGATTCATTAAGAACAAACCTAATCATTTTGGCAGCATAATTAGATACAGGGAAGCATTTTTTCCTCTCCCTCGATGTGCTTGAAAAGAACATGGCAAACTATGAGGTCTCGCTAACTAAAAATGTAGGTTGCTGGCGAAAGGGAGTGTCCTGCGAGCGCACGGCAAAACGAGGCTCCAAAGTGGAATAGCAGCTAAAATTAACAATTCCATGACGAGATAATTGTGACCCTGCGATTAAGATGTGAAGAACATCCCAATTATCCTGACAAGACTGCAATTATTACTGGATGATGCACTGTGTTTGATGTGTTTATTAATCAAAGACAGATGAAATTAATGCTAGATATCGAGGATGTAACCACATATTTAGGACTGGGGGGGACCAAATGTAGAAATTTAATGATCAGCCATTGGTCAACACTAATCTGTATATTGGGGGGAACCAGTATTAGATAGATAGATAGATAGATAGATAGATAATATGGACATGCAAAAACACATGATAGAAAGTCATGTCTGTGTCATTTGAGTCAACCATATATGCAAAAAACTATTGTAAAATGATCAAATATTTTTTAAATGATTTGGGTAAACATCAACAGTGCTCCTATGTTAAGAAAAATCCAAAAGTCATATTACATAAGTATCAATTTCTATCTAATAAGATACTTTAGAGTGTGTAGCACAATTTGAAAAACTTATAATCAAAATAGCTATATATTTATTATATTTTTTATTATATTATATATTTTTTTGTTTTAAACATGGTTAATTTTATAACATAACTTTTTTTTCTTTTTAACGTTTTCATTGTATAAAAACACAAACTGTTTTTCTATTATTTTAAAAATCCATACATCAGTGTTTTTCCAGACAGTGTTCATCGCAAACCTAAAATGTTGACATTAAAAAAAAAAGTTATATTACTTATTCACAGCACAGAATGACTTGAATTAGGTATTCATCAGTCTACTTACAGCAGATAATGTCACTTGTAGAGCTAACTAATCTTCTTCAACCAGGTAAATTATCTCTGACAGCTAATTAACTTTGATAGGTCACAAATTCAAGACCCAAAAATCAAACTATACACCTCATGACTAGCTTTCCTGAGGAAAACACGTGCAAAATAATCTATTTTCATACCCATCTATAAATTACACAGAAATATAAATGACAACTAAGATATCTTGCCAAATACCCATGAGAATATAAATACATTCAATGCTAATTCATGAAAGTGAATAATTAATACAGCATACATTACAACAGGTACAAGGGGCTTGACTAGAATATCAAACGGTGAAAAGTGATTTGACTGCCCAGTGATAACCCTCATTAACAATTCATGCTACCGCGAAGATTGGCTCATTTATGAATACCATCTAATCTAGACAACCGTAAAAGCCTTAAGATAAGACTAAAATTACAGCATCTAAATAATACGATAATCTCCTCCGCAATTAAATAACACCTTTAATACCCACATACATTAATCTCATTACAACTCCCAAATGGTTCAAGTGTTCCCCACTTAAACGAACCATAAATTGGTTTTAAAAAATCAGGGTTTAAGGAGTTTAATTATTTATTTTGGTCAGGATTGACAGCTAGAGAAGGTCGTGGCTAGCTAAGTTAACTCACAAGCGACCGTTGAAATTAAAAATGAGACCGTTGAGAATAACATTTCAAACGCGAGCAGATATTTCGCGGGCTTTGTTTTTTCTTACCTTTAGCTCAAAGCGGCTCTTATCAGAGCGACGCGGCCATCGATATCCGGCGGCTTTAGCTCACACACATCCCCGCCGCAGGTCGAGGTGTCTGCCGGTCGCTGCAACGCTATTTCCCCGCGCTGTCTGTAAGCGAGCCGCTGGCTCCCGGTTGAGCCGACTAAATAAAACAGCAAAGCAGGCCGACAGTGTCCTCCATGCAGTCAAAAAATAAAGTCCTGTGCTTTTAAAAAAGCGCGTACGGCTGACAGTCCACAACATGCACACGTCAAAGAGGAAGTGACAGGACTGGTTAAACCACAGCAGAGCTCGAGCTTGACTGTCACTGCCTTTGCATTGTTTTCAGCGTGAACAGCAGCGGCAGTGGGGCTTCCTGCATCATTATATCCGCTGCAGCTCATATAGCTGATCCCTTAAAAAACAGCGTGCAGAAGAACTGTACAGGTATGCTGATCCGTGCATTTGCGAGGCGTCCCGTGGGTTCTGTGGGTCTATTCAAAGCGTATGCTCTTTCTCAAACCCTTGACCTAGCTTTTCAGTGCGTGCACGTCCTTTGCTTCTTTCTATCTTTACCGAAACTGCGAGCAGCATCGTTTCTGGTCCGACATCATTGGATGGCAAATTCGCCTCTCCCTTCCTCTAGGGGTTATTTTTTCCATCGCTGTAGCACCCTCTGGCGGCGTAACGCGTGAATCGCTGCTTTTATAAGTGTTTCTTAAAGAGACAGTTTAGCCAAAAAATAAACATTCTGCCATTATTTACTCACCTCCATGTTGTTCCAAATCCACATGGCTTCTGTGAAACACAAAGGGAGATATTTCGCATATTGTTCAAGCTGATCGTCTATACAGTGGAAGTGGATGGGGACTAGCTGTCAAGCTACAAAAAGAACAAGAAAGTAGCCTAAAAGTAGATTGAAACCTACAGTTCATGCATAAATGAAAGATCATTTACTCACCCTCATGCATTGCAAAGCTGTTTTTCTTGCTTCTGTGGAAAAAAGGCCGGGCTTTTTGTTTTTGCAAAACGTCCAAGCAGCTCTTTTCCATACATTAAAAGTGAATGGTTATAGTTTTTTTAAAGAGATATTTCATCCAAAATGTAAAATTATATCATCATTTACTCACCCTCATGTTGTTCCAAACCTGTATGCGTTTCTTTCTTCTGCTGAACATAGAAGATATTTTGAAAAATGTTTGTAGCTGACAGTAGACATGGAAAAAAATACTGTGGAAGTCAACGGCTACCATCAACTGTTTGTTTACGAACATTCTTCAAAGAAACTCATACAGGAACAACTTGAGGGTGAGTAAATTATGACAACATTTTCATTTTCAGAGAACTATCCCTTCGGTTCACATCTAAGAAAATAACGATATACTGTACTATAACGATAAATATAGTTTTAAAATCATTCTAAATTTAAAGAAACAGCAGAGTCCACCTTATAACAATAACGACACAGAGGAACAATATCATTGGAATCACTTTCAAAATGTTTTTTTCCAGCTGAGGAACGATAAAACATTGACAGCCAATCAGAATCTGCTTTTAAGAGCTCAAACATTTAAACAGAATGTTATGTATTGGTATGGACGCTAATATAGTTATAATTATTGTTCCTGGTGTGAACAAGTCTCCAAAAAATATAACAATAATAACTATAAAAAAAAACATATGACTGTTTTGTGAGAAACTACATTTAAATGTAGTCACATAAATTCAAAGTCATTATTTTTACTATATCTTCTAAGTTGATAATTACTGAAAATCATGCCTTCCACCCAAGCTCAAAATAAATTACGCTTTTGCACGTTTGAATCTGGCAGGTTCACAACACACACACATACAGACACACAGACGCACAGACACACACACACACACTTCTTCGCTTACATACATCCAGAAATTAATTTTCCTTTTTTGGTCGAATTATGCCTTTAACACTCAAATAGTTCTGATGAACACAAACACATTTTAAGCTCATTTAATGAATGATTTGAGCAAACAGCCAAGAGTCTAACATATTCCAGATGTCATCAAATCATAATGACTCAAACACATGATTCAGTATGCAGTTTTAATTGTGGAACATTTTGTGCAACAGTTAAATAGATTACATGAGCTACAGGAAAAAAACAAAAACTGAACAGTCAACAGCTAACAATGGAAAAGCAGAGAAGAGCATATTTCAAATTTCATGCATCAAAGTAAGCAGTACATCCTGTGCTGCACTGGAAAATGTCAGAGGTCTAGCTTTGATAATCATGTGTAAACAGTCGGTGCTGGTTTGGGTTTGTGTTCTTTGCGCGAGATGATTTCGACAAGGCAATTTAACTCTACTCTTCTTATTATCAGATATGTGCTATCATTCTCTGCTCACGTATGGCACTGGCAATGTTATCACGTAAATTAATAAACATGCCACAGACAGTGAAAGCCTGATATTTGAGCGAGTTATAAACCTTTTCAAGTGTTATTTAAATTAAGAGTCGTAAGACATAGTGGAATGGAAACATATGCAAATGAGCTGCCCTGCAGGTCTGAACTTTTGCCATTCATTTAAATCAGCAGCAAACAAATCAAATAAAAAATATCGAGTCGAGCATACAATTTCCCATATTTCTGTGACATTAAAAAAGTAAATATTTTTACAAATCTAGGCATTATTAAAATATACTTTATAGTATGTTCACCATGTAATAAAACATACAAAATAGATCCCACAGTAATAAAAGTAGAAATATTTACTGAACATGTACATATCGGAGTCTGTACAGTGTAACAACTGTTCCATTGTAATATTAATTCATATAGTCCAGGGTAAAGATCATGATTCATGACAGTTCACAGCAGCCGTTGGCTATATGTTGGCAGAAGATCGCAGGATGTTGAATCGTTTCAGAGTCATGCGGATGAACCCGAGGTCGTGGTTCACCTTTTCTAGGCGATTCTCCAGTGACACCTAAAACCATGAAGTTCATAATGTTACGCATCTATTTTTCCCACTGATGTCTTTTGTTATGCATAACCATCTTTAAAATAAAAAATTCAAGTAACAAAAGAAAATACTCAAATGAGATGTAGAGCCTTTCATTCATAAAGTATATATATATATATAAATGTTCTCTTAATTTTTTCTGGTATATATAAAACGTAATTTATCCTTCAATTTTTTTGGCAAACAAAGTGCTACACAACAGAGGTTTACTGTTAACATTAGGAAGAAAAAAAGTGTGATAATTTCTTTAAAAATAAAGTTTTAGTAGTATTTATTATTTGTAGTAGTAGTATTGTTATTACATTGAAGCTTACATTCTACTGCACAACAGTAATATATTTCTGTCACAGTTTCTTCAAGTTAAACCAAACTTTTATTTTGACGGGTTGCTGTCAAGAACTTGCAGCTGCTGTGTATGTGATATTACGGTAATTTTTCCTCAAGAAAATACTCAAATTAGATGTAGAGCCTTTCATTTGTAAAGTGTTACTGGATTAACAACAATAGGCATCATCATGGTTATGCAACATATGCAACACTTTGGGGATGAATTTCCAGCAAAAAGTAACTATATCATAATATATACCATGGGTTTTAGAAATGTCCGCTTAAACTGTAATATGCAGTATACTGAAATATAATTGCTCATATCATGATCTAATATTTGTATTATATTTATTTACTATATATATATTTATATATATATATATATATATATTGCTTACTATGTTTTTCACAGTGCATTTAATAGATAATTAAATAAAAAATGTAAAATTTTTACTATATATATATATATATATATATAAATGTTCTCTTAATTTTTTCTGGTATATATAAAACGTAATTTATCCTTCAATTTTTTTGGCAAACAAAGTGCTACACAACAGAGGTTTACTGTTAACATTAGGAAGAAAAAAAGTGTGATAATTTCTTTAAAAATAAAGTTTTAGTAGTATTTATTATTTGTAGTAGTAGTATTGTTATTACATTGAAGCTTACATTCTACTGCACAACAGTAATATATTTCTGTCACAGTTTCTTCAAGTTAAACCAAACATTTATTTTGACGGGTTGCTGTCAAGAACTTGCAGCTGCTGTGTATGTGATATTACGGTAATTTTTCCTCAAATGAAACGGTAAAATGCTAATGAAGGGACTCTCAGAGCAGCTGTGGAGATAATGTTTGTGTCGTCATATTGTCATATATTGCAGAAATCATAGCGCCATATGCGTGATGTCAAATGCTTCCACAGACTTGTAGTGTTACTACAGCACTTCACCTCGGCATTGCAAATCACGCAATATTGCTTTGTTCGTCAACAGTATCTCCGTCATGTTAAGCAATGAATGAATGTTAGGCTTTCCTTTGTAACATCACGCAAGGTAAATGAGAGGACGACATCTAGTGGAGAAGATTCACGTTAATCAGATCTTGTGTTAAATCTTTGCGGAAATAAATATGGAAGAGATCGATTTGCAGCTTTTGAGAATCAATAACAAATCGACCACATTTTAAAAAACGATTAATCGAAACATCTTTTTTTTGCCTAGCCCTATTCTATATGCATGTGAATAGAAAGTGATTGTGTTCCCACCTCGTCTAACCTGGTCTGCAACGTGACCCGGGCCCCGGCTCCTGGAATTCGGCTCAGTGCTGCCTCAATCTGTGGAAAATAAATAAATATTGGGTGAAAGTGTCATAGCTTTTAGCAAATTGCTGGATGGAAACAGCTGAGATTAAACAACAGGGTTTTGAATTAGCACTCCTCAGCATGAATAAGAAAAGGGAAGCTTTTGCTAAAAATAGACGTGATTAACCAGCAGCACTATAAAGTCAGGTTATGTAATGTGTAGTGCTGAGGTCACAGCAGAAACATGCGCTACCATCGATCGTCAGTCAGTCTCAAACCAGCACGAGCCGTGAGAGAGTCACACGCTGTTCAAACACTCACGGGATGTTGTGACATGCCTTCCATGAGCTTTCAGAGTTTCACAATGACTATAGCATGTCTATGGCCAGAATTGAAATAATGAATGAACACAACTGAGCTAGAATTAAATCATGGGTTTTAGAAATTGCTAAAAAAATAGAATTTACACACACACACACACACACACACACATACATATATATATTTTACCAATAAATGCTCACAGACAGACTGTGTGTGTGTGTGTGTGTGTGTGTGTGTGTGTGTGTGTGTGTGTGTGTTTAATATTTGAATGCATAAATTATATATTTTTAAATATGTAATATTTATTTATTTAATCCACAGATGAAGATTGTCATATTTCAATGTTTTTGTTCAGTGACTTGCAAACTTTTCCCATTTTAACAATTCATTTTCACAGGTTTCCCAACTGTGCATTTAAAAAACTGTGCATACAGTTTTTACTACATTATTAACTAGTTTACTACAGTACATTATTAACTGGTTTAGCTGGGTAATACTTTAAAATAAGGTCTCATTTGTAAAAAATTCATGAATGCATTAACTAACATGAAGCAACAATGAACAAAATATTTTTACAGCATTTGATCTTAGAATGCCACGATCGACCAATCAGAATCAAGTGTTTTAGAGAGCCATGTCATAACAGGAAATATCCCACAATCACCTGCTGCTTTTCCTGTGTGAGCTCATCAAAGAGGCGCTCTGCGTCAGCCAGCG